TCAGCAGGGTTATTTATTGTTAACCCCTTCTGGAGTCTTAGGCATCTACTTAAAAGGAATGTGCTGAAATTCTGCTACTATGAAAAAGAAACGGGAAGCCCTTTCTTTTTTCTCTTTCTCTCCCCTTCTCCTTTTTTTTTTTTTTTTTTTTCTCTCTCTAGCCCAGCATTTACTTTTCTGTAATTCAGAGACTGAATTGTTTTAGTCTCTAAAGGAAGTTTTCCTTCCCCAGTTTGGGGTTTTAGCGTGGTGGTAAATAGAGATTCAGACTTAGTTAAGATACGAAAGTCTCTCTTTGCCTTTGAGCTTACTTAGGCTTATTTATCTTAGTTGCTGTGAAATATTTGAGCAAAATCACGGATTCAGTAAGGTTCTCTCCTCACATGCCACTTCGTTGAGTTCAACTCCTTCCACACAAGGAGTTGAATTTTTTGGTGGTTGTTTTCCATGCAGATCTCTCCCCACCGGGTTGTGTTACCCAGATAACCCTGCTCATTTGGGGGATGGAGGGTTTGCTGAGCTCGCTGACCGAGGCTGGCATGGCTGTCCCTCCCCGTGGCTGTCCCTCCCCATGGCTTTGTGGCCCTCTCCGGCTTTGTCTCACTCGGGGTCGAGCAGCCCTTTTCATAACATGGTGCTTTGCTTTTCATTTCTGAAGTTCTGTGTTTTTTGACTTCTGGGAACCACACCAAACCTCAAAGAGAAACTCAGTTAAAACCACCTGGTTTCACCTGCTTTCATAACAAAACCAGAAGCAGGGCAAGAGTTTGCTTTGGAAGGGTTCAGGGAGCTCTGAAGGAGCTTTCAGCACATTTTGGGTGGTTGCGAATGCAGCGGGTACCGATCTTATCTGCTGGCACCCATCACTTCTGGCCTCTGGCCAAGCACAAGGTGGTGCAGGGATGAGGTGGGACACTGAGACGTGGCCCCAAGCACCCTTTTGAGAAACTCCGGTCTGTGTGCCGAGGCCACCTCTGCTGCATGTGACATGAGTTCTCTCTCCTTCAAAAATTGCCCATCTGTGTTTTCAAAAATAATATTTAAAAAAAAAAAATAATAAGCCTGGCAGCAGCATCAAAACCAGAAAGCCAGCAAGCAAGACTTTTAAATTAAAACAGCAGTAAAAAAGATCACTGCCATAAAGGCCAAGTAGCACACACTTTGTCAGTCTCTATGCGTAGCTGCTCTTTCCTCCTTTTTCTTCTGTTTTTCATTTCACATTTTTTTCCCAAGTGAGGCCCCCACAGCCTATTCATAATACAAGTTTTTCTACTTGCAAATAATCAGCACGGTTTCGTGTCGGCTCAGGCCAAAAGCCACCGGGATGGTTAGCACATGCACACCTCTGAGACGGCGATCCGCTCGTGAGACTTTTTATGTGCTTAAGCTAATTGTTAACCTCTGATATTTGAATAATCTTCTGCCAGTCTTCCCCCCTTCTGTCCCCTTTTTCAATATTTAGTTCAGAATTTTATGAGTGAGTATCTCCTTGTAATTTTTTGCAAAAATTACACGACGTGCAGAGGGAACCTCCTTGCTCCTGGGGACGTGTTGATAGGACATGTATTAGTGAATTTGGAGGGAAAAGGTGCGTGTATCTGGATACTGCATCGCTTCTCCCTGCCGTTCCTTTGTTGGATGAGCTAATACAGTTGCAGTTAATACTTAAGTATCGATCTAGCACTTCACAACCCAAGAAGCTGAAATATGCAGGGACTTGAAAGGCATTCGCAGCTCGCATTAGAAAAGGATGGAGTCAGCAAGTTAGATGCTTCCTAAACTGATCCAGGGTGAAGCCGAAATAAATAAATAAGGTCTGATAGAGCTTTGCACACTCTGCAAGTGTATGACTGGCTCACCCCAGTCGCTTGAAGTAGGCAGGGTTACCTTTGGCTTGAACACAGGTACCAAGTACATTTTCCCTGTTTGGTGATTTATTCTTGCTGTCTGTCAGTGCAACGGAGTACAAACAATATTGTAGCTCCTGTCCACACAAAACATGCAATAAAATGCAGCTATTTTAAATCATTTGTTTTAAAGCAAAGCCGTGCAAGGAGAAAAGAAGTTCGATGAAGGTTTGCACTTCAGGTTGTATTTTCACATAGCCTACATGAAAGGGTTAAATCAGCTGCATGGAGAAAACCCAAGACTATAGGAGGTGGATATCAACTCAATGAGAGACAGAGTGGGACTTGAACTCATTAACGCTTTATTTTAAGGGATTGCCTACAACATCAATTATTTAGGGAGCAAACAGGGTCTCCATTGCTCTGTCGCATTATTAATACTTGGTAATGTCAATAAAATCCTACTTCCCTGTAAAGTCCCACCAACAAGACACTATTGACTCACATGGCTATTTTACATTTCAAAAGCTGCTGAACAACAAAAAAAAAAAGGTAATTTGTATTTGTATAGGATTTGTTGTAAATATGATTTACGAACAACATTTCTCAATTGTTATCATACCCATTTTGAATGACCAAGCCCTGTTCCCCTGTGGGTTATTCATGTGCTGTGCCGTAATGAGAAATTTGGCAGATCTCATCTCTTTAGTACATCCTTGTGCCCACCATGAGCTGGGGATCATGTTCCGCCTTGTTTACAGCTGACAGTGTTATTATTCTCGTTAGGACTGTGCTTTCTTATCATATTGTTGTGTTGAGCGAGCCTTTTCCTCTCTGTTTGTGTTTCCTGGCAGGGCTTTTCTTCCCTTATTGACAGTTTGTAAAAATATGCATTAATTTGGAGTTTAAAGCATGTATCATGGTGTCTCTTTGCTGTGTTTGCTTGAAGTTGATTAATGATAGAACCTCACTTGGGGTCGTCCTCTGGAGAGTTGTCTCACAGGTTCTGCATGTTAACGAGAGACGCCGCACACACAGCGAACGATGATTAGCCCAGCCTCTGCCAGCTCGGCGGGCTGACAAACTGCTGCTTTGCCTTTCGGATGCTTATTCCGCTTATTTATCCAAAGATTGTATTAATCAACTTAATATGTCAGCTGAGAGCATTTTTTCTTGATCCTGAGACGGAAACCCGATCAAGGTGCTCCTCCCAGAGTGTTTTCCTGGGGAAGTTGAGCGCTGCCTGCCCGGCAGAGCCTTCACTCGACTCTGGTGGCTGGCGCAGAAGTTGAGGGTCTTCTCCTTGGTGACCTGGAGCTCCTAAGCTTGGCACACCAGATCTGAACGCCCAAACCACCTCGCTTTTCTCCCAAACCACACGAGCTGTCAAAACTGTTCTTTAATGAGCAACTTGCTGATTGACTGTATTTTTGTTTTTCCAGGCACCCCGTGCATGTCAAAGAAGAACCGTTAGATCCAGATGAAAATGAAGGTCCACTATCCTTAGTGACAACAGCCAACCACAGTCCAGATTTCGATCACGACAGAGATTATGAAGATGAACCTGTAAATGAGGACATAGAATGAGTATGTCTGACATCGTTATCCTGAGAATGAAGATTGGAAGAACACGTCAAACTTAGCTGTGAAGTCTCTCCATTATTGTACAGTCTGGAGGATTCTCAGTCCACTTTGACAACTATGAAATATGTTAACTCTTAGTGCCATCAAGTATCCCATTTGGGAGTATTTTTGATTTTTCTACTTTTTGTTGAAAAAAGGAATTTGTACTCTGTGCATTGGATGGACTTGTTTGGTACTTGGGATTTTCCTCTCTTACAGTCAACATCAGTGTTGTAAATTTGCTAAACTGATTCACTTGCATTTAGCAGCCAGCTGTGGACTGCAGGTCCTGCCAATTTTGGACACTTGAGGACATCAAACTGAGCATGTACACCTGAACTGCAGATCAAGTCTTTGCCCAGATTTTAAGGATTCCAATGGACAACATATTTGCACAGTACTGCATGTTGATTATCACTGCCTTTACTCCATTTTTTTTTTTTTTGGTTTTTGGTTGGTTTCCTTTTTTTTTTTTTTTTGCTTCCATTTGGGATGGGGAAGGCCTGTGTGTGCACGTGTGTGGATATGTGTGTGTGCGTGTGAGCGTGTATATCGGGGAGGGGTTAAAAGAAAAAATGATCCCAAACTTTTTAATGTATTGCTTTTATTGCCCTGCTCCTCTACCATTTTAAGTTCTGACCTCAGGCCTCATCTGGGCCCAGGGCCTCTCGGAGGCTTCAACGTTTTCTGTACTTTGTGATGAATGTTAATAGGTGTTTTTATTATACGAAGCTGAATGTCATTGAATTGTTGTTAGTTTTTTCTGTCATTCATTCCAGTTTCCTTCAGATGCCACCATGTTTTCTTTAGCTATGGAAAACATTCCATTTCGGTGTCTCCTTTTTGTTGTTGTCGTTTTTTGAAAAAAGGTCCCAAATGCTGCACTATACATGTGGAAGGGTTGTCCAACGGAGAGAGAGGAACAAAGTACTGCAAGAATGAGAATGAATGACAGATGAACATAGAAACACTGTAGGAAGCAACACAGATTCATTCCACAAAGCAGTATTTTTAATATATATTTTTTGTTGTTGTTTGGGGGTTTTGATTTTTTTTTATTTTTTTTTTTTGGCAGCAACGGTGAATATTAGCAAATGCCACAAAATTGAACAGCACAAAGAAACGTATGCAGCACCAACAGAGTTCACTTTTATTCGAGGATGAATAGTACAGTGGCAGGTTCTCGGTTGTTTAACGTGAGTTTTAATGGGTCAACAAATCTTTCTGGAATATCGAAGATTACCGAGATGGGCACCTATACATTTATTATTACAATTTAAATTTTTTTTTTCTTTTTGCATTTGCAAATAGTGGTTGGAAAGATGACTTCATTAAATTGTTATTGTACATGGTGATGTTTCACGGTTAAACATCAGTTCAGGATTGCTTGGTGGCATTAATCTGTTTGAATACAAATTAGATTTCAGATTGAACTTGTTACGGGAGTTAATAAGGACAGAGCCCCACTAATGCTAAAGTGTTAATTTTCAGCTGTGCAAATCCAGTACTGCAGTTAAGATTGTTATGCAATATTACACCAGCCAGTATGGAAACCTCACTGTAGGAGACAGGAGATGTAGGAGAGAATTCGCGCCGGGGCTAGTTAGGCAAGACTGGCAAGGCTCTTCAAAGCAAACATGACATACAAAATTTGTTGCGATAGGTCAGTAAACCTCGGTCACCAAACACCTAAAACATTTTCATTCTGCAACCACTTTTCCGTCACTCATTTATTTATGTAGGACTGTAGCTTTTTTATTATTTCAAAAAGCCTTTCAGAGCTTAATTTATATTCTTCTTTGTACCTTTTTTTTTCCTAAAATTACCAAAGATATTACACAAAGGTAAATTATGTTCTCTGTTATATGCTTTATCTTATGAAGCCAAATATCCTCTTCTTGTTGATCAAAGGAGGTTGAAGAATTTAGAGGGAAATGACAAGATGTGGGCTATTGCTAACCTGAGAGGGAAACTGCTCCTTTATTCTAGAAAATTTAGAAGGCCAAGTAGATGTCTGAACCAAAGTTGTTACTTTTTATTTGCAATTCTTTACAGTGACCAAAATGAAAGTCTGTAAAGAGGAATCGAGGAGAGCTTTTGAGGCTAAAACCAGGAATCAGTGTTACTGGTGGAGCTATGAGAAGGGAGCTGGAGAAAGCAAAGACACAGTTATTTCACAGAAAATTAGAGTATCAGATAAAGGAGACAGTTTAATAAAATACAGAAGAGAACAGAAAAGCTCCCACGATTTAACTGGACAACATAATAGTATTTTTAGAATTAAAAAAATTTTTTTGGTCTTTGGTTCTACAGATTGTGTGCCACTTCTGTTTCGGGACTGTGCTAGGATGACTGCTTTAATTTTGGTTGATCTTGGCACATTTGCTCAGTTTTGTTTAGTTTTTGGTCAACATTTTTCATAAGGAAATAACACTCCTGTCCACTCATAAGCTTTGGTACAAGAAATTTTATTGGCAGTTACTTTTATAAAACTCAACTCTGCTTTCTGTTCAAAAGAAAAAAAAGAGAAAAAAAAAGGGCAGTCTGTGGTCATTTGAAACTTTTTTTTTCTGTTTAAATTATATCCAGGCAGCTTCGTGACGTGCCGGCGGTAGCCAGATGGGGATCATGAGAATTGAGCCCTGTCCTTCTAAACTGAGTGGTTTGCTGGTTAGTTCGGTATTCAGAAGGGGGATAAAAATCTGGTAGATTAGTTCATTCTCAGCATGTGTAGCTAGACATGAGTAAAGATAACAGCATGAGAAACTGTTAGTACGCATACCTCAGTCCAAACTGTTAGGGAATGAGTAAATAAAAAATACATTTCACTCAGTTGCACTTAGTTGTATGTCTTGCATGCTTAGTCTAAAGACTGTAGCAAAAATAAAAAAAATAAAAAAAGATAAAAAGAAATAAAAAATTAGATTTTAACATATCTGGCAGGTGTTGCAGCCTTGCAGAAGAACCAACTGAAAATCTCAGGCTTTACATCAAGCAAACTTCACTATGATTTTTACAGTTCTGATTCTGTATCCCTTTGGATATACAGTTGCTTCTTTAGGGAGGGGTTTATTATGTTGTACATATATATCCCACTGTGTCTGTGTGAGCCTTTGTCTTTTGGGGGGAGGGTGGGGAGGGAGGAAGAGGTGGAAAGGTCCTTTTTTTAGATATCATTCCTCAAAAGGAATAAATGCAGACCTGTTTGTCAAAACACCTTTTGCTTTTTGTGCAACTGCTTTATATTAACTATACTAAAAAATAGCTTTGAAAAAAAAAAACTACTGTATGTAATGGAATTGCAGAATACGCTGCACATGTATTTTATTTAGTTATCCTTGCTTTAAAAATATTGGATGACATTTGCTGACATGTGGGAGAAAATCCCTGACTTTTTTTTTCAGCTTTTAAATTGTAACATAGTTGACAGATTTTTTTTTTCTCCTGTTATCATTGATCGAAGCATTTTTGTACAGTTTTTGTGTTTAAGCTGGGTTTTTTTGATACTTTCCCACCCCTTCTGTTATCTTACCACTGCCTTTTCTGGCTGTCTTAAACAAAGTTCATATATTTGAAAGGAAAAAAAAAAAAAAAGTAGTTAAAAAAAAATGTTTTTCTCCTGCTGCAGTAAATATTTTGCATGATGAATTCCAGGGTCACACTTTCAAAGTTTATCAGTGAAGTAGTGATTAATAATGGGGAGTGTCAAACTATTGAACTTTTGTATAAAAAAAAAAAAAAACTTTACAAGGTGCCAAGATGTAAAGACAATTTGTTACATGTTTTTTTTCTCAAAGAAAAGCGTACATTATGAAAGTAGTACCATGTATCAGGTAAATCGCTGTCAGGAATGAGAGTCAAAGCCTTCCTTGTCCACAAAAAAAAAAAAAGTTTGTAAATGTAAAACCTGTTAGGTTTCTGCATTCAACTAGAAGTGAAATGAAAAATCAAGGCTTATGTAGAATAAGTGACCACAAAAAATATTACCTTTTTTGATT